TGACATTTTTGCCAGATGTTTCCCCCTTTTCAGAGTACACAGATATCAGTGGACGAGCACATGCCATGGCGGGGAGAGGAGAAGGCCACACTCCTCTCTACCCGGCGGCTCCCACAGGAAAAGGGAATAGTTCTTATTTATATCTAGAAAAACTGATATTTATAATTGAGCTCAGTGAATGAATAAACTTATTTGGATATACCAAGAGCATAAGCATAAGAAAATAATACCACAGAGGTACAGAAAACTGGAGACTAAATATTAAATGTAAAACTAAGCCTTGATTAAAATGTCACAAATGGCTCAAGAGAATTCTTTTTTTTTTTAAATCCCCACCCCAGGATATTTTTCCATGGATTTTTAGAGAGTGGAAGAGAGAGGGAAAGACAGAGAGAAATATTGATGTGAGAGAAACACATCAATTGGTTGCCTCCTGCACATGCCCTGACCAGGGCCCAGGCCGGGGAGGAGCCTGCAACCGAGAGAGAGGTAGGTGCCCTTGACCGGAATCAAACCTGGGACCCTTCGGTCCACAAGTCAATGGACACTCTATCCACTGAGCCAAACCGGCTAGGGCTCAAGAGAATTCTTATACTAGAACTTGTACATATCCCTTAATAATCTGTCATAATGGCTTACCATAAATATCCTTCCTTTATGGTAAGTAAATTTCCTCACCTAGAGTAGCTAACTCTAACGTGCAGTTCTGTAAAGTATCACTGGTTTGGTTCACGACAAGCACATCTAGGACGATATCATACTGGTTGACATGCACATAAGCTTCTGCATATACAGGATCTGAGAAACCTGTCAATTGGGTGACCTGTCAAACAAAAACAAAGAGATAATCAATGACTGAGTAAATTTAGCCAAACATATCCTGGCCAAATGACTAAGTCTGTTTGGTAATTAACAGATATGCTTAGATTAGACAACAGGTGTAATAAAATTATTTTGTCATGGAGACATGGTAAATCAAAATGGGGACATCTATACTAATAAAAGCCTAGGTGGTCCTCGCGTGCAACATTGTCACAGATGGCCGCCACAAGATGACCGCGCACAGCGTGGAGGAGGCGGGTTCCGGCGGAGGAAGCAGGTCATGGCAGGGGAGGGCAGTTGGGGACGATCAGGCCGGCAGGGAGCAGTTAGGCGTCAATCAGGTCGGCAGGGGAGTGGTTAGGGGGTGATCAGGCTGGCAGGCAGAAGCAGTTAGGGGCAGGAAGGCAGGCGAGCAGTTAGGAGCCAGCAGTCCTGGATTGTGAGAGCTAAACCGGCAGTTGGACATCTCCCAATGGGTCCCAGATTGGAGAGAGTGCAGGCTGGGCTGAGGGACACCCCCCCCAATGCACGAATTTTGTGCACCGGCCTCTAATTAGAAATAACAGATCCTAGACTTTATATCTCAATAGGAGAAAGACATTAAATATGTCTAGCAAATACCTTAACCATCCAACTTAGGAGTTAAATCCCTAACTGTCTAAACTCACTAGATATTCTCCAAAATTCAAGAACCCAATAAAATTCAGATCATGTGGCAGTCCCTGCTATGCAAGTTCAGGAACTAAATAAAGATTGTATAGCAAGACATGCTTGTACAGTAATTTCATGAAGATAAAATTATGTGTTTTCCTCAAAATTTTTTAAAAAACATATTAAAGGCCCTGACTGGTTTGGCTCAGTGGATAGAGCGTCGGCCTGCGGACTCAAGGGTCCCAGGTTCGATTCTGGTCAAGGGCATGTACCTTGGTTTCGGGCACATCCCCAGTGGGG